AATCCGAGTCAGCTCACACTGAAGACCGTCTTGTTCAATCTCGTACCCAGAGCCGTCGTTCCTCTTGGTCAGCGCCGAGAAACGAGGACTCTGGCACACAGCGTTCTCACCAACAGGATTTTCTGTTGTTCCGGTTTTATGGCGCATGCGTGAGCCATTTTCAAAATGGCGGAGAGTTTGATAATCGATAGGTTTCACCAGGCGATAAATATATCACTGAAAACTCTCGGAAAAGAATCTCTAAATCTCAAAGAAGCTCAGTACGAAGCGATCAAGGCTGTGGTCTTAGATAAAAAGGATACYTTGGCTGTTTTACCGACTGGTTATGGAAAGTCATTGATTTATCAATGCCTCCCGTTCGTATTTGAAGAACTCGACTCTACCAAATCTACCGTCCTGGTGGTATCTCCACTCAATGCATTGATGCAAGACCAGATTGAAAAACTTAAAGATAAAGTTTCTTGCACAGTTATCAAGACAAACGATGCTCAGAGTAATCTTACATGTGACTGCAAACTTGTCTTTGCTCACCCAGAGGTGTTCACCTCAAAATACTTCTCTACGTCTCCTCTCATGAAAACTCTCAGTAAATCTGTAAAAGCCATTGTCATCGATGAGTCTCACCTTGTTGTTGAATGGAAAACTTTTCGCCCAGCCTATGGAAAAGTGTCCATGCTGTCAAGTGTTTTTCCACATGTACCAGTACTTGCCCTAACAGCCACTGCGACAGTTGCTATGAAGAAAAATATCACGKAGTCTTTAGGACTTTGTGATCCACAAGTGATTGCAGTTAATYCTGATAGGCAAAACATTTTCTTTTCATCATTCCTTAGAAAGGCTAGTGGAGATGATAAACTAGTTGAAATCTTACAGCCTTTAGTAAAGGAGCTAAGGAGGGAAAGGCAAGATTTCCCTTTGACTTTGATTTATGGAAACCTTGATACTATTGCTGAATGTTATACGTATTTTAGCCAGTCATTGGGTGTGGAGCAGTATAGTGAACAAAATGGTGAAAAGGGTGCCAGGAACAGGCTCTTHACCCAGTTCCATGCTCAATATCCAGAGCATGAAAGACAGAGAATCGTTAGTGAACTGGCCAATGGAACATCGAAACTTAGAATCCTTTTTGTGACCGTTTCCTTCGGCATTGGCATTGACATAAAGAATATAAGAAGAGTTATTCATATTGGGGTTCCGTATACTATGGAAGAATATTTTCAGGAAGCTGGAAGATGTGGTAGGGATGGTCTGCCAGCAAAAGCATTTATTTATTATAATGCATATGATATTTCAAAATCAAAAAGTCAAATGTCTGATGTCATGAGAGAGTTTGTAAAGTTAAGCAACAGATGCAAGAGAGAATTCATCCTACATTATTTTGGCCATCCAACACCATCAAGAAGAATGCTTSAAGATCACACATGTTGTGACTTCCATAAATCTATATGTCAGTKTGACAGTTGCTTGATGCAGGACATTGAAGCGTCTCAACAAGCACTGTCATTACAAGAATCACCTGTACCCTCTAGATCCCTTGATTATAGAGCCAGGAGTCTCTCTGACAATACTAAGGAGAAACTGCATAATGCCTTGGTTGACTACCGGCTGAGTCTTCATGGTTCAGGACCATCTTGTGTTGGAGGGTTAGACTTGGCAACAGGTTTCAGCATAGAGCTTATTRACATGATAGTTGAGAAAGCACCACAACTTCATTCATTAGAAGATATCAAAGATAATTTGCCTATTTTCAGCAATGAACACACAGAAAAAATCTTTACCATTCTTCAGCTTCATGTAAAATCACTGAGGTAATTACCTTTATTCACTTGTAAATTCTCATCTTGTATAATTTTGTATGATTTCATTGTTTAAACTAAATAGACCAAGTTATCACAGCTAGCATGAAAATTTAAATATTTGATTTGACAAAAATAATTCCAGTACCATCTTGTTTACATTGACAATCATTAAAATGACAAGTTTCAAAGAGATTGATCTCATATAGGCAAAGATATGAATTTTCAAAAGTATGCATTTTCACATATAAATCATTGTAACCAGTCGTGCATACCCCGTGACAATGACCCCATGAGCCCTTGAATTCTCAAGGTACTGTAAGCACACTCAAAATACAAAACGTTGAAAAATCTAATCTCATTTAAAAGCTATCTCTTTGAGACTTCACATCTGTTACAATAAATGCGTTCATTCACTGTTTTTTTTTTTTTTTTTTTTTGTTAAATGAATATTTGAAAATGTCATTTTGGCACAATATAAGTAATGTAAAGTTCAATATAAATATTGGCACTATATACATGACCATTTTTTTCAATATTTTTGTTAGACACTTACTAAAGTTAATTGTTGTGTATTTGAAACCAAGTGAACCATTCAAATGCATTTATTATAGCTTAATAATATAATCATGTATAAGTATTTTACATTATTTTATACATCTGAAAATTTKTAGTATTTATAATATATCAGTTACAAACTTAGTTGGACTGTCTAGCAGTAGAGTAACATTCA